CCTCCACTTAGGGTTCATAAAATTGGGTAATCTGAATTGTTTAAAACAAAATTAATCCTAATTTTCATAATTAGGGTTCTATAAATTAAACAGACATGAATCAAATATGGGCGGCTCTGATACCATTTGTTGGAAAAACAATAATAATAATAATAATAATCCTGATTTTGATTCTAACAATCAAACATAAACATAATCCCATACTAATAAACATGCTGTAAACTGAATGCGAAAGCGTACCTGAATTAGCCATAACGATGATGTCTTTGTAGAGCACTATATTGATCTTATGGTCTTCCACCTGAAGAGCACTTGTATTTCCCTCTTGATTTTCTCTCTTGATGGGGATAGAGAGAAAGGAACGGGACTGATTCTGTGTGTGTGCTCTCAGAAGGGGACCATGACCCTTTAGATAACCAGAATTAGGTTAATTACTTAAGTTTTAGTATTTCCAATTTGGCCCCTCATCAAATTAGAAATTGCTCTATGGTCTCTACACAATTTTATTTTCATGACATATGTTTTTAGCCAAAACTTTAATTTAGTCAGATCACTTTATTATTTGACTTAATAAATAATGACCCTAACACATTTAAATATGTATCATATATATACATGACCCAAATTTTTCCAACAGGAAATACTAGCGCACAGTTACGTAGAAGGAGAGAGGTTAAAGGTGATGCCACTTCAAACCTTGCATCGTCAGTATAAGTTGTTGCAGATGGGGACGCAAGAAACCATCCAAGAATATTTTGGAAGATTGTTGTTGATAACAAAATTAATGAAGTAAAGTGGTGAAAGCTTGAAAGAATGTGTGATGGTGGAGAAAGTGCTCAGAACCCTCGATGCAGGTTCGACATAATTTATGTAGCCATCGAAGAGTCTAAGGATCTCGATTTGTTGAAACTTGATGAACTACATGAGTCATTGGAAGCTCATGAACAACGATTATGTGAGAGAGTAGAAGATAAGTCAAATGCAAAATAAGCATTGTTGATGAAACAAATCCTAAAGAATGATGGGAGTTGAGGAAAATCAGACAAAAGAGGACGAGGAAGAGGTGGAAATAATGGTGAATAAGACTCAGAAGGACAACATGAGAGTTCTTTATAATCGAGAGGTGACAATAACAAAAACTCAAAATGGAGAAGTGATCGATCTGATTCTATCGTTGGTAATAAGAATGTAAAGTATTACAATTGTAACAAGTATAACCATTATACTACTCACTATTTGAGCAAAGAAGAATAAGTAAATATGGTACAAAAATATGACTCAAAGGATGAAGTATTGTTGATGGTGACCTCGACGAAACTAGTGGTGACTTTTGGTGAATCCTGTTACTTGGATATTGATTATTCAAATCACATATCGTTTCAAAGGAGTTGGTTCGTCGATCTCGATGAAAGTGTTAGATTGAAGATAAAATTTGTAAATAATTCGATAGTAAATTATGAAAGAAAAGGTAGAATTATGATCAAAACAATAGATGAAAATCTGGAATAATGTCGAATGTACTTTATGTTCCGACCATAAAACATAATTTATTGAGTACCTGGACAACTACTTAAGAAAGTATATTAGATCGATTTGAGATCAAGAAAATAAATGTATTTTATTAAAATTATAAAATAAGTTATTATTTTAATTAATTTTGAGAGATAAAATAAATAATGTTAAAATATTTAACTTTTCTTCCTTTAGTTTAAGATCAACATTTCATGAAAGATACTATTAGTTAATAATGTTATAATCATTTTTATATTTAACTTTTATTTCGTAAATATTTTTTTAATTACGATTTTAATTATGAAAATAATGTTATAATTTAATAATAATATTATTATTATTATTTTATATTAAAAATTGATATAATTTTTGTTGGTAAATTTTCCAAAAAAAAAAAAAATTTGACTGATTTCAGCTTTTAGTGCTTTTGAATATTTTCACAGAGATTTTTTTTCTTTGAAATTAGTGGTATAAATATATAATGCTAACATAAAATAATTATTCTTAAGACTGAATATTTTATACAAGACAAAGTTCTTTCTGATTAAAACAACCCTTCGAAGCTAACATCACCGAACCCGAATGTTGCAGGATTGCTTAGACATTCAGCTTAAAACATCATCATTTGGAGGATCCAACCAAGCAACATATATATAGTTAAGCTGGAATCGAAGCTAAGTTATGAGAAGAACAAAGAACTTTTGTTATCTTTATTTGACTAATAACGTACGATGGTGTCCAGATTTTGTCCAAAAAATTCCCCACATTCCAGAATTTCCACAATGTAGCAGCAAGTACAATCAAAGTTTGGAACTAGATGTCTCCATCCATATTATAGAAGTAGGAAAAAATCATCCATGTCAAGGGAAAGCATATTTTGTTTTTAGCTCAAACTGCAGTAGTGACACTTTTATCTTTCAAGCTACACACCTCAAAACAAACAAAAAGGGTGAAAAGAAAAAATTTAGCTTCCAGACGCAGTTTCATGTCCCTTCAAAAGTTGAATTATCAACCCGCTTCACCAAGAAAACATGGTTGAATCATTTGAGAAGGTTATAACAGAAATCCAGCCATTTTTAAACATAACAGAATGATAATAATTTTAAAGTAGTAAATGAACTCCAAAAATTCTAAAATATGAGATGTTGCAGATATATATAATAAAACATGGAAATGGTCTAAGATCATCAAAATATAACACAAATAACATTACGAAGGTCAAACAGATTCAGACACAGTTCAGCAAAACAAGATTTACAGAGTTTGAGAAACTCCTTCAACCTTTGGTGCTTTAACTCAACACTCTCTTGTTCAACCACAAAGAAAACAGTAGAGAGGGCTCAGAACCTTTTAAAAAAGATATACTTGAACTCATTAGGGAGGAAAACATGTGATTTACCCAAGGAAGAGTGGTTAGGAGTAAAGATTTAGCTCTACTTACCTTAGAATGTTGTTGCCATAGAATTCTTCGTGACCTATATGATACTTACTAAAACCCTTTTTCCCTATTGTAAAATTGAACATCATTAAAGTCCTTTCCTTTCTTTCATCATTTGCTATATATTTAGACTGGTCATTTCAACATGATGTGAAAAATTCCATTTTTAAAAAAAGGCACTTAGAAGAGGAAGTCTATAAAGACTCACTTTAAAAAAAAGTGAATTAGAACATAATATAAGTTTATTAAAAACAGGGACATTCTCAATGTTAGAGTGATCTCATCATGCTAGTGTAACACTTTTCTAAAGGGAATATTGCAGAATTAATTGTCTTGAAAAATGATATTGTAATTTCCGTGATCATATTGGACTAGGCAAGATCTATAATATAATACTCCCTTTGCTCTTTATTACAAGTAATATTTTGGAAGAAGTTATTGATTTTTTTATAAGGTAATCTCTACATAATTTTAGATGTGTTTTCTTGGCTACCCCTAAATATTTATGTTTTGTATTAATAATGAGAAGGTTAATTTGGTAAATTCTCAGCAACTTTTTAAAGAATCAGATAAATAAATTATTAGCTATGGTATGCTATGTCTGAGTTTGGATAAGAATTGGTGTAGCTTATAATTGTATATGGGATACCAGAATCAGACACATATTCCTGAGACTTCCTTTCCCAAACATGCAATCAGTAGAAATATGCAACATTCTTCCTATCAAAGGAGGAATAATAGAAGAATACAGGGGAAGTGAAAAATATTATCCATTTACCAAACATGCATTTTGTGTTTTTATGAATTGCAAACCCTAATCATACAAAATCAAGGACTGAAATGGAATTTTAGACGAAATTACGTCTCAGATGGCATAATCCAATATTTTTCACAAAACAAGAAATTATTGTATCATAAGGGTCATTCAAATTTTAATAATAGATTTAACCTAAAGCTTTTTTAGAATCTGTTTAGACAAAGTTCTTCATTCTACGAGAGAAAAATAACGTTTTCATAACAAGAAAAAATAAAATAAAATAAGTTTATCCATAAACAATTTAAAGTTAATTTTAACTTGTAAAGAAAATATTTTTATTTTATATTTTTTTCTTTTAAAAAATCTTCTACAAAACTATGAAGTAGATATCTCTCGTACAGTTTTTCGGAGAAGAAAAACACATATATCTTCTCTGTCCGAATGTTGGCACTTTAACTACCTAGTTGTATTTTTTATTTTAAAGTAGATAGTAGGGCATAGATATGGTGAACTAATTATAAATAATAATGCATGATGGATTTGGTTTAAGAGAATATAATGTTGTATGCAACTTGCGTATCAACCATCTCTTTTATTGAATTACGTTATGTATGCATTCAAAACACTAACCTACTTAACGTAGGTATTAGTTTTTATATTAATAGCGTGCCAAGAATGTCAAATATGTTGACCATTTCAGTGTCTTCTAATTATGATTGCTACGAATAATTGATTAAATCAATTAAACAACTGTCAGACAATTCATGTTAATGATTACCTCTTAATTAAGTCCTGCATTAGATATGAGTATACACCAAAAACTTATGTCAAATAATTCAAAACAATTTTTATATCTAGTGATAGTTTTTCTCAATGAATCGTGACAAAGTTCTTGAATATTCCACTGTTTTTCTGAAATTCAATTTATTTTTTTTAGAATATTTGCTGTTTTATATTACAATTGACTTAATTACAAGATGACAAGTGAGTTTTAACTTTACAATTTGTTTTTCCTTACGCTTTAATGTAAAACGAATCTTCCTCACTTGATGGAGACGAGGGGAAAATATATTGATTCCTTATTGCGAGGCCCAAAGGGGGATTTTTAATATTTGATATTATTTTTTTTATTATCTTATCATAGCATCTACGTCAACAGCATATATTAATTTATTATAATATGATCAAAGCATCTACATCAACTACAGTTACTGCGTTCCAACTTGGGAAATTCACATAGGGCATCTCTTTTCTTTTATTGTTTTGGTTTTTGATTATTTTTCCATGAATGATCTATGCAGTCACAGATGTTTCCACAGCAAGATTTCCAGGGTAAGCAACTTCTGATTTTATGTCATCTTCCCATAGTTCTGGCACTGCTTCCCTAAGGTTGTGGATGCTCTCTAATGCATAATCTGCTCCTTTAATTCTCTGAGATTTTCCAACCTGGATTTTGTGATCAACAAGTAGAGGCTCTTATTAGTTTCCCACACAATAGAGATTCATTTGTGGGGGCAACCCACAAATATTAATTCTTGTTTTTATGTGCATTGTGTGTTGCCTCATAAATTTTTATACTATCTTGCACCACCACTATGATCTCTGTTACTTTATGAAAAATATTAATAACATTTTTTTACGCCTTTTTTTTTATATTAGTTTAAATTTATTTAAAAATTAAAAATAAAAACTATGATCTCATCATAGTTTGAACTATATGATATATAAGATGTTACCCTCACATAATTATATGCATGTGATGTCCCACAGCTTAAAATTCTTAGGTTCTTCATTATTAGTTTGGCAGTGTTCCTACTACTGAACAAAATTACCAATGATTTACCAGCACAGTGTGAAGACCTAAACGTTTTCCAGCTTGTATGTTGCGGACACTGTCTTCAAAGAACAGCTGAAAGTGACATAAAGGAACAACAAAAATGTGAGAAAATAAGAGTCAAACAAAATTAAGAATGTAAGTAAAATAGGATAGTTTTTCTTACAGTTCTTTGTGGGTTAAGGTTGGCTATCTTCAGAGCAAATTCAATTGCATTTTCTGATGGTTTGCAAATAATTGGTGTCTTAGGCAAAACTGTGTTGGGATAGGGTTGAGCAAAATGGGTTATGATGTCAAAGATTTGTAAGCCACTGGCATCTTTTTTTGTGGTTGGATTGGTTGTGCCTGACCTCCCCACAAACTCAATGTCATCTTCATCATCAGAGACAGTGGTTTTGTGGTTGGGATTAAGGGTCTCAAAGCATATGATTCCTTCAAAGCAGTCCTCCAATCCAAGTCTGCTAAGTGCCTTAACTGCATGGACTTTGTCTGAGTTTGTGAAGATCTGAAAAGTAAAAGACAAAAGCAGGTCTCATCAGCTTATTTTCAATTTTTCTAGGTAGAATCTTGTCCAATTTCTATTTGGTTATATACAAGCAACTTACTAGTTTCCTATAGGGCAGGCTCAGCAAAAGATTCCTCAGAACTGGGTCTGGTTTCAAGTTCTCATAAGGTAATCTTCCATGGACAAAACTGTAACAGCCAGAGTTAAAAAATCAATATCATCACTACAAAACACACAGAAGGATATCAAATTGGGGTGAAAAGGTCATGTACCTGTGATATTCATCATAGTCAAAGTCATATCCAATTGCCTGAATTGACAATGAAACAAAACAAGCATAAGTTATCTAAGATTTCTGAATTCAACAGTTAATTTCCATTTTGACAAGGAAATAAATGATAATCATACCCTTAAACCAGCCATAGTTGTTCCATAGTTCTTGTAGAGGAGGTTGGACAAGTCATCAATTTTGCTTTTTTCTATGCCAAGCTTTTCCACCATATAGTCTAGATCAATGGTACCACTGGGGTCAATATAACATCCATAAAGAGTAAACACATTACCGAGAACATTATTTGCAAAGAGACACCCACCTTTAATATTTTGGCCACATGCTTTTGCAATCCCAGTGCTTAGTGGATACAAAGTATCATCTAAATCTGCAGCACAGTATAAGAAGTTATAATCTTAATCATACCCAAATGATGTTTCAGAATTTTCTATTAATCAATGAACTCTCTCACTAAAAGACTCACCAAAAAGAAGGCAATCATATTTTGGTCTCTGGTTCTGTCTGAAGCGGTCCTCGTACTCCATTTCAGGCAGAAAACCTTGAAGAGACAACAAAAGGAAGTGAACACTATGTTGCATGACAACATGAACCAACCAAAATTTATATAGCGATTCATTGTGATTCTCAGCCGACAAATGTTGATAGCTTTCTTATTTAAAAAATGCTCTTGTTTACTCGGATTAGCACTGATAGAAGTTAAAGCATCGTAAAGAAGACAATCAAAGTTGATCCAATCCATTGGAGATAAAGCCTTGTTAAGATTCTGAGTGGACAATCCACAACCAAGGAAATAGATAAATTTGAAAATAAATGTTGCAACAGTAGCCCTTTGGGGGCACAGAATTTAAAGAAACGTCAGAGGATTCAAAAGCTTCATTCAATTATTATTACTATAATATTAAAAAAAAAACGAAGGACCCTCAAGAACAGAGGGAAATCATGAAGCTCAAAGCCAAAACGCAACACTTGGCAACATCGTAAAATTTTTAAAGTCCAGGAATAAAAGGAAACAAAGAAAGTTAACATATGTGTGTGTGTGTGTACGTATTGAAATCACCAAATAAATATTATGTTCACAAAAACAGAGGTACTGTTCTGAATTTCCAACATATGTTCGTGTATTAATGAATTTTGAGAATTCAAAAGGTAAAAGCTCAGGCATGCACTTAAGATAATAAAGGGTCTTTGGTAGAATCATTAAGAAGCCAAGGTTTGGAAGGATTATGGGCAATGAGTGAAGAATGAGGAGAAAGGTAGAGTGTTCTAAGAAAATATACACAAGAACAGTTGAAGTAATCGGCTTACCAGAAACAGAAGAGTGAGTGGGTGTGGACTAGGAAGAAGCAAGGCTTAGAAGCAATATTGTAGTATAATGGTATTGAAGGATGCAAGGAGGAGGGGGAGGAAAAAGCAATGGCAAACAAGTGTATTTATACTCGAAAAGAAGGCAAGTGCGAGGGATCATCGGCTACAATATTATATTAACTTTATCATTTATTATTCAACGGGACAACTTAGTGAATTGCATATGTGTTTATAAATTTAGGTCAATGAGTACACACATTAGAAAATAAACTACAATTTTCATTACGAAATGAATGATTTTAAATTAAATGTAATGAATAAAATTTAAAAGTAGTTCTAATAATAATACTTAATTTCATAATTAATAATAATCATTATATTTTTTTCTTCTAAAATAATCCCCTCATTTTAGAGGAACCAAATTCAATTAATTATTATTAAAATTTATGATAGTTCAATTAGATCAGATAAATTCGACAAATTATTGTTGGAATTTATAATAGTTAAATTAGAAACGAGGTATTTTTTATAAGCTTCAATCCGAAATATTTATTGCATTAATATTTCTTATTAAGAATAGACAAATTATGCCGAAAAATAATGAGAAGAAAAATAAAAATATTAATAAAAATGATGGTTTTAAATTATATCGTCACTCTGCTATTTTAAATTACACATGCATGCTTCAAAAGTGATTCTATCGTCACTCTGCTAGTTTTTTTTTCTTTTGTTTACCGTCACTGATGTACATCACACATTTGCATGATTTATGGTGAAAATGCTGTTTTATATGTCAACCAATTTTTTAAAATATCACTTTCAAAAATCATTTTACTTTTTTTTTATTTTAATTGTTTTATTAGGAAAATAATTTAGTATTTTTGAATAAATTCGTCGATATTTAAAACGAATAATTATTAATAACACACAAGATCACTCAAAGATTGAAATTTTAATTGTTTCAATTTTGATAAAAGATTTTTAAACTCTTTTGATATATAGATCTTTAATTTTTATTTTTTTTAAACTATGTTGCTAGAAAAACAAAACAAAAATACATAAATGTAAATATTTAAAAAGAAACTGAAAAAAAAATTGTAACAATTTTATTATTTGGTTATTGTATTCTTCTTCTACATTTAATATCTACACATAACTGTGTACACACTCTGCTCTTTTTTTTCCTACATTCAATGTGTACATACCTATTTTGTAAATTAAAAAAAGTACATACCTCCATATACGCACGTGCGCATACAAAAAAAAAACCACCCTCTTATATTATTAAAGTAATATATTACTTTTTTCTACAACCTTTAATTAATAAAATAATATTAAATGGACGGTGAATGAGATAGGTCTGTGAAATGACACATTAAATTAACATTTTTCTTCTATACAAATAATTCTTGTCTGAATTTTCCCAATTTATTTTATTATAAAATTAAACAAATCATAATCTAAAGTATTCATTTGATGCATCATAAAAATAAATAGAAAAATATACAAAATTAATGACAATATATCAAAATTACATATTATATATAAATAGATTATAGAAACTAAAATCACATAAAAATATATAACGAAAAAAATATATCAAAATTTTAAAATAGTGTGACAAGTATTAACATATAAACATTCTATGTTAAAATTTTACATCAAAAGAAAAGAAAAATCACCCTTGAGTTTTCTTAAGAAAGAATTGTTGTGAATATTTTGGATGAAGTTGCCATAAGTGCAATAAGAAACAAAAATGAGGTGCGTAAAAAGGGTCCTTTAGTTGTTTTGATCCTTTCACCTTTTGTTTGGGTGATATGACGCAATAAAGGGTGGAAAAGATGGTAATTTATTATATCTTGCATCACCTCATCTTTTGTCCACAATTTTTTGAACCTAGCTTTGGTGCCACCGCCATAACACATGGTCAATATCACACACACTCACCACACACCAAACACCAAACCCCTCTTCATTTCTTCATTATTGGGGCACTCTGCTCCCTCATTTGGAAGTAACTTCTTTGCCAAAACCATTTCCACCACTTCCACAACCTCCAATAACAATCTTACCCATAATCACCTTCTCTTCTACAATCATGCATTAACCCAAACCCCTTTCACCCTTTTGCGTGTTGGACTCTTTTTTACCTTATTACATCAACTACATGCTAATCAATCACTGCTCAGACACTAACACACACACACACCAAGTTGCATACAGCTCAATATTTGGGGTCTTCGATTTCAATGATTACCTCATTAATTGCAATTTTACCTTTTTCTTTCAACTTTGATCTGTAATTTTGGTTTCATCCTTAACTTTATTTACATTTTTTTGTAATTTTATTAGTTAAATTATTTGGTTATGTTTATGTAGATTTAAGATTCAATTGGATTAAAATAAAATAAAATAAATGTAAAAATATAGATTATTAGACTAAAATTGAATATTGAAATAGGTTGAGTTTTGTGAAGATATTTTGGTGAGAAGGGAAAGATGTAATACATAGCTACTTACAAAACCATTAATCTGGATTGTTCTGGATGCTACACGTAAGTGGAGCTTTAAATATTAGGAAACAGCTTACAGCTAATAGAGGCACTACCTTTGTGTCCTTTATACTAAGGACAAAAGTTACGGTTCAAGTTCTGATTAATGAAGAAGATCCTCTGTATTTTTCTCATGCACATGACATGATCATATATACTATCCAATAATTCACCACATTTCTCTATTTTTATTGTATACACTTTTCACACCACATCTACATTTAAATATAACCATGGTCGGTAAATGTTTTTATTTCTTTTCCCACCATCGTCATTCATGTGTCTTCATTTTTTATCTTTCTCAACTTTCATTTGCTTTACCACAAAATTCACCATCATGAAAAATCTTCCAAATTATATAAGGATAATTTACTCAACAAAGAAAAAAAAAACTCCTTTTATTCTTTTTCTAGAAGGGATTCATAAACTATCACATGTTTAATTATGATAGTATATAGTACTATTTCAAGAATATCTTGATAATAATTCATTGCTTGTAAGTCACTAACTTCAATGTCTCATATCCCTGTAATAGAATTACCACTGTGTCCTTCCCCTTCTCTTCTTGCATCACTATCACCTAACAAGGTCAAGGAAGAAGGACCTAAACTGGTAAAGGAAAATGAAAATATCCAAATTCTGAGGAGGTCATGAAGAATTCGAGACAGCTGTGTCTCAGTTTATCTCTTAGCTTTTTGAACGTCGGGTGCAAATATGTTTTTTAAATTTGTCAAAAAAAAAATTAAAAACATTAAGCAACAATCTTGGGAAAAAATATATAATTTTTCACAATAATAACAGAGCAAGATTTATTGTTATTGCTTTATAGAAATAATGAAAATGGTTATATAAACCTTTGATTTCTTTTTCATGTGGGGTTAACAAGGATTAACAAAAATTATGAATTGTCAGTTCTGCGTTGTTAGTGATATATATTAAAATAATAGGCCAAGATCCAATGATTTTACGAAATCTAATTTATATTTAATAAAATGATTAGAGTATCTTGACATCCATGACATGAAGGAAGCCCCACTATGCAGTGTACAAAGGTAGACACATTGTATTTTATTTGGGTGATGATCCAGAAATTGAGGAGCTTGAGAATTATAGTTTCATGGTTTTTCAGTAAAATAATCAAAAATCTCCCATGCCCTAACCACACCATGCACATGATTTTCGTGGACAAATATCAAATATGAACAATTTTTTTTTTATATGCTAAATGTGAAATATCTTAATGGTGTTATTGTTTTCAACAAGTACCAATACTAATATTAAAAGATTACGAAAATAAATATAATTTATTTAAATAATGTCAAAATTATTTTCTGAACTACTAGGTCACTTGAAGTAGGTGTGTTTGACTATCTTCAATCTATGCCAAGTTTTAAGACAAAAAGATATTATTATTTTGCTTCCGTTTTAAAAGACAGAAGACCTTGAATTATTTTTTTAACCTGCAGTGTATAAAATTGAAATAATTTAAAAATAAAATAAAAAAAATATTTTTTTTATTTTTTAAATTAAAAATTTTAAAATTATTGATTAAAATAAATTTTTATTTGAGAAATTAATTTATATTCTTAGTAAGTTAATTAAATGTTTTAAATTTTAAGATTCATATTAAAATTATATTGTTAGTTAATTAATTAAATTTTATAAAATTTAAATATTTGTTATTATTATTTTTAAAATGTGATAAAATCTTAAAATAAATT